GCAGATGGCTGGCAGTGTTGGGTTACGGCTCTCCACAATGGACCCTGGGAACATTAGCTGAGAACAAATCATCCTACGCCACTTTGAAGCACTCGAGCAGCCACCAAATCCAGGCTTCAGGGGATAAATTCATATGAGGGGGGCCAACATGCCGCTTTTCTGGAACATTACAGTGCTAAGGGTTTTTCTCAGTTTAATGCTAAATTCGATCTGTTGGGCTAAACCGCCTACCTCCATGTGGTAAAACGGGCTGATCTGGTGTCTGCATGTCAAGTTTGAAGTTTTATAAAGCAAGCATTTTAACTTAACGTAAATCTGATGCAGTAAAAGCACACAAGCATGAAGGGTGGATTAACTCTCGGCTGTTATCTGTTGTAATTATTTCTGAAGTTATGGAATCAGGTTGGATTTACTGCAGAAGGTACAGATGATAAACGGATTATCAAGTCGTGGGAAACAGCTATGTAAACACGAAAATCGCCGTGTTTACATTGAGTGAATTTGTTTTCGTAATTTCAATTTGTGTAATTTTATTTTCGATGGAAATGCAAGCAGAGACCTGTTGAAACATGTAAAATTTTTACTTAAAAATAAACAAAGGCACTGAGGTGTAGGAGGCTGCACAAGAGGAAGCTACCTTCCTGTTAGCATCACTGTTCTGAAAGAATCACCAGCAGAAATTCTCTCGCATATGAATATAGTATCACAGCACAAGACTTCCAGAACAATATTATTTGAAAAGATAAGATCAAAGTAGAGGTGTTTGGTCATAATGCACATCCATGTTGAAACACTGCATGCTGGCAGAGATGCATGATGGTAGACAGGGGAGGTGATGAGGGCTTGTTGTGACATCAAAGGACCAGTGGACTTTGTAGCATAGGGGCGACTGGTATATGTTTGACTCCAGATATCATTTGACAACCTGACTTAGATGAGATAATTTTTATATAAACCTTCGATCAAAACCCGACATCCCACCAGTTGATCACTGACCTCTGCCGATGATCTGGTTGACATGAAGCAGCAGTTGCTCCCTTGCGATCACCACATGCTGCACCTCAGTCAGCAGGTCCGGGTGGAGACAGGACGGGTCGATGTGGACTGGAGCCATCAACAGGGGGGACACCAGGTCACCTTCCATGCCCAGCCCCAGCCCCCCTCCAAGGGTTCCCAGTCTGGGAGACAGCAGCTCCCCATTGGCTCTGTACATAGGAGGAGCTGCCCGACATGTCTCAGGCCTGTCGACACCCTGATCTGGAGAGGCAGAAACAAAAAAAGAGAAGCAGGGGGTCAGAGGTCGGCCGCTTAGTCACAACACCTTGACCTCCGCATGTCAAGGTGTGTTACGTGATTGGAGATGGACAGCTACACAGACACAGAGCTGGAAGGAAAAAGCTTGAGGTTTTCTACTCTGTTAGAAGGCTAATAAATGCAGAAGTTCCTCCAGAAAAGTCAGAACAAGAACCAGAGCTGAAACAGAGAGCGAGGTCAAATGTCCTGAATGTTAACTGTCCCAGAAGGCAAACATTAGCTCATTAGTAAACCCAGGCTCTCCAGACTCAAGGCCAGCACAGAAATCGCTTCAGCTATGATCCAGGGGATCATAATACCAGGAGCCTCTCAGTGGCCCTCAGGGCCAGAACAGAACCCACAAGAGGCGCCACAGACCACATCAAAGATTACTGACGCATGCTAGATGAGAATATGTGCATCATGTTTTTATTAGACTTTATATCTATAGTTTTTAGTTTCCGAATACCTAATCTGTAGTTTCTCAGGATTTATAGTTGGACTAATCTTTTCTATCTCTTTACTTCCTGTTCTACTGATTCTGGGTTTCTTTGTCATTCTCATGTTGAATTGTGTTGAGTTTTGTGATTGGTCTGGTCTGTTTGTGTTCTGTTTTCAAGTTTTTGGAATAACAGCAGTTCGTGGTTGGTCAAGGATGGCAATGAGATTCTGTGACACACTCCATATTATCATCACCATGCTTGACAAGGAAGTCAACCATGGTGGTGTGTATTACTGCCAAACAGTCCTGCTTTGGTCTACTTTGTCAAGACACTGTTTCATCCATTCATCCACCATCTATGCACACTTAACTGGGCTGGATGGTAGAGGGGCGGAGCCTATCTTCCAACAGTCATTAGCAAAAATCAACTAACTATGTTAATGTCAGCAATTTTTGCTTGGAATTTCGTAGACATGTCAGTAGTTCATATTCATAGAATAAAAGAACAGTGTTCATTTTACTCAAACATATTTATATATCATATAAAAAGTAAAATCAGAGAACTGATACTTTTAAGTGGCCTCTTAATTTTCTCCAGAACCGTATATGTATAAGACACCTAATTTAACACCTTAAAATTTAAAAGTCCTGCTCTTTCTGAAGCTCCACCTTCAGGAAGTCATCACAACATGGCTCTTTTATTAACCCTTTAAAATGAGCTCAAAAGATCTGTAGCTCCACCAGGTGTTTGCTAATTACTCCTGGCTAGTCTGAAGGAGCAGAGCATGGGAGTTGCGGGGGAATGACATTATAACATGATGTAAAACTCAAAAAAGTCGATTTTACATATTACTGCCCCTTTAATATTAAACAAAACATCTTATGTGATCATTCTTTTTTAACCCAAGTCAGAAATGCATCAATTTTACCTTGAATTGATCCAATGATTCGGGCTGCTGTTAGTGTGAAAGGTGCACGATAAGGCATGCGCAGCTAACCGCTGAGGCCAACAGGTAAGGGAGCAGGCACATAGGAGGGAGGTGAAGTGAGAGAACAGGGAGTCACATGAAGAGAAGAAAGGGGGAGGGGCTTACCCTCCAGCAGGGTTGTTCTATAGTCGACTGATTCATGGGAGACCATTTCGTTAGTGGGGCTGACGCTCCTCGCGTTAGCCAGCCTGTCCAGATGCTGGATGTGACCCCGGCCATCATACCACACCTCAGACAGATCTGGAAACAAATGTTGCAGAGACAGAAAGAAAGATGAGAAAGGAGATGGAAGAGAAGAAGGACATAGAAACAGAGGAAGACAAAGAGATAGAGAAAGAGATAGAGAGAGAAATCATTGAGAAACAGCAAGTGTTTCCACCAGAGCATCCCACACAAGACATTCCACTAAAACCCACCAGGCAAAACAAACCCAGCAGACACACATGCAGAAAAAAACACTCTGAACTTCAGGTCAAAGAAAATGCAATAGACAGAAATTAAAGCAAAAAAACAAAAACAAAACAAAAACATACATTTCCTTTATGGAACTGACTAACTTCATTGTGTTTAGAAAAGTAAGTAGTGCCAGTGACAGAATAAAAATTTATAAGGGAAATGCCAAAAAACAAAACAAAACAAAAAACAAACAAAAAAACACCAGGAAACTTAACAACCAGCAGATAAAGTTCTGGGTGCCAGTAACTCGTCTTTTCAACCCAAAGTAAACCACTTTGTTCCAAATATCATCTGAGAATTTATAATCAGTCAAAAAAAATTGCATTCTGCTGGTTTACATACACAAACAGATACATATTTTGGCATTTTATTGATTCATTTTAGCTAGTGTTTTTATCCAGCAGGGTAAGCGTAATACAATATACAGCTGCACGGGTTTATATTAACTGGATATTTTTTTCTAATCCACATAGAGAGTCACACTTAAAAACTATTTATCCAGTTCCTTAAGCAGGTGCAAAGAAACCACACAGTTTAATCACTTTTCATAAGCTAGAGTTAAGACATTTAGGCCTCGTCCAAACGTAGTCGGCTATCTGAGAAAACAAATGTATTTTTATGCATTTGGGCCATTTATGCACAAGAAAACTCAGTTTAATAACGATTATTTATAAAAAAAATAAAAATCTGACCAAAGTGGAGATTTAACAAAGCTTTGTATTTGCGTACCTGGGAAAACTGGTACGCTGGTATTTCTCATGTGTATGAAAATTTTAGTGGATGAAAACCATTCTGAAACCGATCCCATGTGTACGATAATAGTTTTTTAAACAATGCAGCGGTGATACCCGTTTTTATAAAGACCCGGCTACGTATTTCAAGGCCTCAGAGTCTATAAAAGGAAAATATGTGTCCAGTTTCCTGTTATTAATGAAAGATGGTAAAAAAGCTATTTGTAATGGTAGGACACTGAGTCTCCTGCTCTTACCATCGATGTGCTTGTTCCTCCTCCACATCAGCAGCGATCCCAGAAAGAGCAGCAGCAGGCTGACACACATACAGCCCACGATGAGGCCTGTGTAGTCCTGCTCCTGCGCCAGCGTCACCTTGCCCAGATGCCTGATGGAGTCCGCTTGGCGCCACTTAACAATGGGAAGGGATTTGGAGTGTCAGGAGTGAAGGAAGTGAATGCTAAATACTGTAACTAATACAATCAGGTTTTGTTCCCAGAGGGCTCAAGTTTTATGTTGTCAATGGAGGTTGCTTTGATTTTATTTATTTATTTATTTTTTACAAGCAAACAGGAATGAAATTAAAATAACTAGTTTGCTTGTAACAATAACATCAGGTGTTCACAACCCATAAGCCATCTTTGCTCAGTTGACAGAGGTGTGAAGTAATAGTGTTTCTTATTATTATTACCAACTAGCTCTGTCAAACAGCATGACTTGAGACCCCTCCACAGTTTGTCAGAACATCAAATGAAATCAGATAGATAACTTGATTAAATACAGTTTCCTAATAATTCCTTTCACCAGATCTTTACTCTGCTGCCTCACTGGGAACTGGAACAAGAACTCAGGCAAAGTTTTGAAATCAGGGAACATTTCTCCAGTTGAAACAATCAAAGGCCTACAAAACTCTCTGAACGAGGAGTTTTCTTATCCTGGAAGCGTTCTCAATGGGAGGAAATCCAACTGCACCACTGAATGAGAGACAGAGCAGGAAGCCCCAACAACATATCATGTTTTAAAATAAAGTAGACCTAGTAATACACAAAACAAATACAAATAAAACAGAGACTCATAATTTCACATTTTATTTAACAAAAGCTTAAGTGTTGGCCTAATAATGCCACTACCATAAAAAAGTATTATTTTGCATAAAATGCAGAACTTTTCACAAAATAAGATTTTGCTCTCTGAATGTGTGAATTACTGACTGAAATACATTACTTCATGCCTCCTCTTATCAATTTGCTGCATAATGAATTTATGTTAATCTATATAAAGAACAAAACCCAAAATATTTCTAATTAATAAGAAGGGGAAGTCGTGACTGGTAACGGTCACGACCCCCTCGTTGAAGACCTTTGTGTTATGGTATCCAGGTATGAGATGATGATCAGACACTCTCCAAGAAATCTATTCCTGATATATTTAATTACCTGTACTGCATCTGCAACTAGTGGTCAGGTGTGTGAATTTTAATTTGCCAAAACTATGGATGGTCTCCAGATTTTAACATTAATGTTTAAAAAATCCCCCCAAAAAACAAACAAACAGAAAAGAGTCCTAGATGGAAAATATTCGGTTAGCACCAGCCCTGCTGTGAAGAGTGTTTATTTGTGTTGAATCTGTGGTTTCTCCACTTAGAACGGAGACAAACATGACCAACTCCTAAATGTTGATTTCAGGTCACGTCAGTTATTTCTCTGGTGACACTTTACATAAGAGCATCTGTGTCCTCAGTGGTACACAGAGATGCTGCAGTGTTTGCTTTCAGACAGGATGTGATACAGTCATACCTATGAGCAAACACACACATACAAACTTCTCTTTACCTTCTCAGGACATCAAAAAAACACCTACCGTTTTTAAGACATGATAGAGTTTTATAAAAAATTTTGAAAAAAATCATGTTTTACTATTACTTCAAATTATTGGAAATGCAAACATTTATGTTATTCAAATAATAACATAAGTTATTTACTTTTCTTGGGACCGCCACCTAAAAAAAATAAATAAATAAGAAAAAGAAAACTTCAATAGCCAACTAAAAGAATCAGCATATATTTTTTGCTTACAGGTGTTACAATGTTAGTTTACTTTTTAGAAAAAAAAAGTCATCCATTGGAAATGATTTCAATGTGTTCACCAGAGTCTGTGGAGAGATTAAATCAGTAATATTGCTCCTGCTTTCACTAGGCTTAGTGGAAATAAAGTTCCTGCTGCAGATGCAGTGATGTGTGTGTGTGTGTGTGTGTGTGTGTGTGTGTAAATAAAGCCTCTCTGGACAAGCCTTGATGTCGATTTGTGCAGCAGCGGGATATTGGCTGACCCTGGCCTGAGATGAGAAGTTTTGCCTGAAGGCTGGTTCACGAGTCAACAACGATGGGCCTGATAACGTTTGGTCTGGAGACGGACAGTGGATGTTATCTCCACAGGAGTCTGAAGACCAGCAATGTCGGCTTGGACTGGACATGGTGAACATTTCATAACACTGTTAAAGCTGTTGAGTGCTGGGAGTTACATTAGTTTACATAAAGACACAAAAGCTAAGAGTAATGTTGCAGTGACATCATAAAATGTTGCTTTTTATTTGCTGAAAGTAGTTATGCCTCAAGCTGCTGTCATGTCATGTCAAGTATAAAGCATTTATGTCGCTTTTGATGCATTCCAGTCCCGAATAGTGTGTGTATATTGGGAGCAAGGGTGTGGAATTCAAAGTGCAGCAATTATGTTTCCATATTTAAAAAACGGTGAGCTCTAGGGTTTAAATAAGCCCTTTCATAAGTATAAAGACATTTATTTATGTTTAGTGGTGGGAATCAATTAAAACTTTAAAACAAGTTAAATGAAGGGTCAGTAATAAAAACAAATCACAATCACATTTTAATTGAGAACTTTATATCGACAAAATGAGCTAAATTTTCAATTCAAATCCCCTTTTTTTGCTGCAAAATTATTGAATAAATAGACAGATGAGCTCAACAACAAAAATATTTATTGTTTTTAATCAGTTATTTAGGCTACTCAAAATCACACTGAAGTAAAGTGCTGCTATGCATATTCAGCTTTCCAGTGTTTCATGGAGCTTTTTAGAGAAAATACTTCTTTAGTTAGCTTTAGCATTAGCGTTAGCTTTAGCGTAGGGGTTGTCTGTGCTGCTGCTACATGTTCAGCATTGAGATGGTAGTTTAGGTTTGAATAGCTTCACTGATAGGCTAACTCCTTATAGCATAACTTGAACACAACAATAGTCTTTTCCAGCTTCAAATCATATATTTTTTAAAAAGCAAAACTTAACCCCCAGTGTTCCAAAAGAAGCAGCTTCGTTGTTCACTGGTGTTGTTTGCGGAAGTCATCTGTATGTCAGATATACGAACGTATCAGAAACACGAAAAAAAAAAACAACGGTTCTGGGGTGGTGTGCATTAAAACCTATTAAATTAATTAATCAAAATGAACGTATTAAAGTCCAGGCCTATGGGAGACTTTTACTGCCATAAGTCGAGAGAACACTTTTTCAGTTTGAAAGTAGAATTTCATTTCTTTGTCCTTAAAATTTGTAATACTTGCGTTCTCTTTCAAATATTCTGTGTACTCTCTTAAACCTTTGTGTTCCCCCGTCGGGCCCTACTTTTGTCGCAAGTTGCATACTTAGTTGTCATTTCAACGCTTTAAAATTTTGACGTCTCCTTGCACCTTCATGCATTTATTCAAACTCTTTTTTCCTTCCTTGCCCGTACTTTCGAGCGCTGTTCCTAACATTCCAGTAGATTTTTCAGTGTTTTGTTTCTGTTTCACCATCAGGAAGGAAACCTATGTGTGCAGAGAGCCTTTGAGCTATGCCTGATGACATATCCAATCTGCGAGTGCCTTTCAGAAGCTGCTTGACTTACATTCAAGTGACAAGATGGACAGCTGGTTAGTAAGCCCATTCACTCATCACTCTGTGTAGCGGATTCTCACCAAGCTTCTTATTCATGAAGGACTGCATTAGGACGCAGGAGTTATTGAAGTCTGTTGTAAATGATGTGGTGCACATGGAAAATGTGGTGATTTCCCTCAGATTTCCCAGAGATGGTTATGTAGAGGTCAGTAAGGACGAATGGTTCTGTTGCTACCTTCAATTTGTTGCACGGTGTTTGTTACTACTGCTCTTTCAGTGTAGAAATGTTAAATAGATAAATACATGCAGAAAAGAAATAAAATACACAATAATACGGACTGACGGACTGAAAACACACTTTTTTTTTTATCAGTGTGTGTTTGATCATTTCCGCCAGACCAGTCAGCCTGTTTGTCCATCAGAACCAGACACTGAGATAGGAAGCCATGATAAATTCTCTCTGTACACTGATGGTAGAAACAGATGAGAGTTTTCATATAAATTTATTATGACTGGCTTTATTGATATTGAGCTGTTCCTCTCATATCTACCTGGGAAAAGATGCGTGGCAGCCAGTATCAGAGTCATGATCTCACACGTTCAGGGTCATGGTGAAACTAGACTGGATTTTTGTTTTGGAGTTGCCAGTGAGGTGGGATTAACTGGATTTGTGTGATGGTCTAGAAGTAATTAGCGCTAAGCTGAAGCATTGCTGGAATTGAAAACATATTCACACATATATAATAATATTCATGCTTTATGGGGTGCTGTGGTGGTGCAGGGGTTAAGCACAACCCACATATGGAGGCCTTAGTCCTTGACGTGGCTGTCACAGGTTTGATTCCCGGCCTGGTGACCTTTGCTATGTCTTCCTGGTTCTCTCATTAACCATTTTCCTGTCAATTCACTGTCAAATAAAGGCCAGTAGAGCCAATAAAATCTTTAAAAAGCTTTATGCAGGGGCTGGGTTAACAGAACATTTTCCATCTTTGTTTTTTTTAAAGGGTGATGGAAAAACCTGAAGGTCATCCAACATTTTGACATTATAATTCACCCACTGCATAAAAAACTTTGCAAATATCTGCATATATGCACTTAAATTAAGACAAAACTGGTTGGCAAGAAACTTCTCTGCAGGATACAGGAGCTTGTTTTAAGTTAATAACTCCTAAATATTGAATATAAAAATGTCTTGTTACAAGTGAAAGAAAAATCTGCCAGAGGAATTAACATTATGTATCAATATTCAACAATTATTGACTTAAAACAAGCTTCTATGTCATGCAGAAAGTTTCTCATAAGCCAGTGTTTTCTTATTTCAAGTGTATGAAGAGATGTTCACTAGAAACTAGACAAAAATATCAAGAACATCTGGTGAGATTTTGTTTTTGAAGTGTACACTTGACCACATGGTGTAGATGCTCAGACATTTTTACTTTTACATACAGAGGAAACTAAATAATAATAATAAAAAAAAATCTCTGGTCTCATCTCTGACCTGGTGACTGAACTCAATGCGCTGACAGCGTGAAAAGTGATGGGGAAGAGGCTGTAGAGCGTGTCTGATACAGCAGAAGAAGAACTCCTCCTGCTGAAGCTTGAGGGTTGAGGGACAAGAAAACTCCTCATTCAGAGAAACTTCTGATCACTTCAACTAGAGAAAAGTTCCCCGATTTCAAAACACTGATTCATCTTGTAGACCAAGATCAAAATTCCGAGATGCTTACACTCAAGCGGGTGCACAGTTCAGGTCTATACTAATCAGGAGGCTGTAGTGAGAGTGTGTGTTCAGGCCATAGCAGGTGAATCATTGAGAATTGTTTCATTTAATTGTTTATACGTAGTTACAATCAGTCGTCGTTGTCAGTTACATTCATTTGCTTGATGTGCGATTCATAATGTGGACTCTGTTCTCTGCTTGTTTGGACTGACTGTTCATTAACCCAAATGAAGATAAAATGTAACTGAATATCATCACTTTCCTAAAATGACAGCCTAAGTTATACTTTTGTCAAAAGTAATAATAAATAAATAAATAAATAAATAAATAAATAAATAAATAAATGTTTGCCTAACAGATGATTTAGCAAAAAACAAACAAACAAAAAAACACTATTGGCAAAAAGTGACGTAGGTCATTATTATTATTTTAAAAATTGATGAGTAAAAACTGGATTTTTTTATATCCTGTCAGACAACATAAAATTCTAGCGCAAACTATATCTGATCTTGATACTGATCAGGTATAGCTTACCCCATACACAAACAGTCTGCACTGGTGCTGAAAACATCAGTTCATGCTTGTGTGTCGCTCCCAGCAGAGTACCTGGAACAAGCCTGAGCGAGGAGGATGTGCGCGAGTGTGCATGAGCGTGTGTGTGTGTGTGTGTGTGTTTCTCTGTGCAAACATGCGTTCGGGGTGTGGCCGTGTTTTTTTGCGGTGCCTGGAGTGCTTCTGTAAACAAAGTTCTGTCCTAATTAAAGCATGTTTTGTTTACAGACTGTTGCAGGTGTAAGGAGAACCGGGAAGTAAACGTTGAGGGGAAGCGGGTGTGTCTCACCTCCACCTGCAGCTCCTTGGCAGTGGCGGCCTGCAGCTGGGTGGGAACGGTGCACTCCAGGGTGTTTCCGACCACCGTCAGACTCTCGCAGCTGTGGTTAGAAACGGTCAGGACCTGGCACTTCATTGCCTCCCTGTCCATGCGGTCGCCCTGCGAGAGCAGACCGAGGAAGAACAACGCACCCAGAGAGATGAGGAAGGAAAGGAAAGTTTAGTTAGAAAGAGGCAGAGAGATGTTTTTTTTTTTTTTTTTCCTTTTTACTCCAGAAGACATTTGCCTCCTCTCATTAAAATTTTGATTTGTATGTCATGAGCTGACTTCAGTCAGCAAGCTTCAGCATGTTTCTGAGATCCAGATACGCAATATCACTGGGAATTTTCCTGACTCTGTTTTCCTACTTTTTGGGTAAGCTCTGCCCCCCCACATGTGACTCATCTGCTGAATGTTCCATTGTCCAATCCACAATTTTGTGACGGTGCTTGTTTTACAAATGAATTCCTACCAAATATTTGGCATAATTTGTTCCTCTTTTTTTTTCTCTTTCCAGTTTTGAGTTGTACATTTCCAAACACAATGTTGCTTTAAACTTCCCCTGGGTTTAATTGTCTCCTCTCCAGTCCTGTCCCAGTCGTAAAACCACTCCCAGCAGGCGTGCTGCCACCCAAACACACCAGATCGCTTCTGTTTTTACTCATGAAACAGTTGAAGGGATGAAGATGAGTGCTGGCCATTCTATCCCTGTTGTTATTGTATAGTTATATTAGAGTAAAGTATGAAATGGAGCAGTCTGCCATGGGGTGTTTCATATTGACCTTTTTCCTTTAATGACTGACAATTTAAAGTCGTTTTTTTTCTATGATCTACCTGCAGTCTGCTATAGGAACATAGAGTTATATTATGTCTACTTTTTTAGGTCATATTTTAAGAGTCGACAGGCCTACAAGAAATAGAAATAAGATTTAATATAACAGTTTCATAAAATCATGCATAATTCAGTGAAATCATACAAAATTTGAACAGAAACACTGAGAGATATCAAGATAGATAAACTTGTGTACAGTGGTTTGAGTGAATGTGGATAAAATAGTTTGTTTACAGGTGTAGAAAGACAGCGTAATAGCAATACCTGAGAATAAAATGGGGATACTGACCGGCAAAGGGCCAAACTGAACCCAAACCCAGAAAAACCACAGGACTTCTTCCAGACAGACCCAGTTTATTGGTGCTTTGGGAATTCAAAGCATCATTTTGCATCTCCACTTACAAGGATTGTGATTGTCACTTGAAAGGCTGTGCAAGCATGAGGTGTTTTCTCTCTCTGCCGGTGGCCACTAGAGGGCGGAGCGCAGCGGAGATGACCACAGGCCTGCTGTGCATTGAGGCATTAGCAGGAAAATTCAAAGTCTGAGGGTTTTCCCAAGTCCTTTCTTTATCCCTCTGTCATTCTTTGGGTTTTTCCATAAGTCTAAGGATGCATCCACACCATCCATATTTAGTCTGCTTTAATCAAACTCTAGTTTGCCAAGAAAGTCTGGTTCATTTGGGGAGGTGTGTGATTGTACGATCCAACTCTGACGCAGACCAAAAGAGCAAAATCTGGTCTGCCTAAAAACCTAAGTCTCCTTTCAGTTGAAGTGAACTTGAATGCGTATGTGAACATCAAGTGAAACAGAGAGCAGGGCATTCTGGGTAAATACTACCATAACAAACATGCATATCCACATGGTCTTATACCAACGACAAAAGTTGCAGTCCAACAATGGCTAACATCTGATAGCACTCCGTTTGTTTAGAAGGAAGCTTTTGTGTTTTTCCTTCAGTGGTTCAGCGCCACCACTGGCAAGGCGAGGAGGGGAACAGGTTGCTCAGAGGGTTTCTGACGTTTCACTCAGTGCAGTGTGAAAGAGAAACGCAGCAGCTGAAAATGTAACAAATGTTGCAGTTTTAGTCTCCGACTGAAGCGAGTCTGCTGGTGTCTGTTTGGTGTGAAAACACCGTTAGCTGTTTAGCAAGCCTGCTTCCTCTCCTCTCCAAGGTAACCATCCATGTTTTTTACTGAAAATGTTCTGCTTTGTTCCTTTCTGGGTCCCTCATTCCTAACTTTTACTCCTGAGCGTTATCTTGCATGTGGGTCAGACTGACCTACACGAAACCATGACGAAACCTTTTTAATTCCAGCCTATTTTCGTTGCGCACTCCAGACACTTAAAATATTTTTTCCTGTAGTTAGGCATCATAAATTGTATAGATGATTAATTGCTCACATCTCATGTGATGATCCGATTTTTACTCTATTTTATTTTCTGATTATTATTTTCTTCACATTAATTCTAGAAATTAAAACATAACAACCAAAGTAACTAGCATCCAAATGAAGAGTACCTGTCATTTTCTTTCTTTATGTGAATTTAGGAGAAGTGAGCTGCAGTTTCATCATGTTTAACCAAAAAGCTACCATTTGAAAAAGGGATTAACTGAAATAATCGAAGGTGAGTAATGCATAGTAATCTGCACAACAAAAACACCCCGTGTGGGACTGCAGGCACACACACACAAGCAGTGTGTGGATTTAAGTTATGAAGTTTGACGGAGCATTTCACGCTGTGAGAAAACAGAGAGCATCCTTCTCTTTCCTGTCTCCCCTAATTTTCTTCTGTTTGACTTTTCTTGTCTGTCATCCTGTGTTTCTCTCTCCCTGTCACAGGCATGAACAGAAACACAGTTATCTGAGTGCTGCACGGGGCAATAAAGCGAATGATCACATTCCTCGCGTGACAGTTTGGGATTTTCCAATTTGACACAGAGTGGAGTCTCGCACCTGTTCCTGCACACACACATGCACGCACACATGCACGCACGCACGCACGCACGCACGCACGCACGCACACACACACACACACACACACACACACACACACACACACACACACACACACACACACTTCCTTTCTGATACGCATAAACATGAAACACTTTTTGAGCTTGCACCGAGCCGCACACCAGGGCAAGTTCCTGGGATACAAACGTGGTGCGCTGTGCGGAGAGAAGGCAAAGTCAGAAGAAAGTGTCACAGTGATAACAGTCCCTGAAAATAAACTGTCAGGATTATAATTAGAAGTGAGTTTCCTGAGGCTCCCGCATGCAGATCGGCAGCGATAACAAACTGGTTCTGAGCCAAGACCAACACCTTGGGTTTTTCATGTGTTGGCATGCAAGCGCAGAACTGTCAGTCACAGGTAAATGCTGTTTTGTGTGACTGTTTGATAAAATTTTGAGGCTGGCGTTATCAGATGGCACCTAATGAGGCCTTTACACCAGAGGGCAGATTTATCAGATGCTGGTTAATGCGGCTTGTTGCTGTGCATTGACTTCTACCATCCCCCCTCAAGCAGCCCCTCCCTCTGGGTGAGAAGATATGCCCCCCTATGGGGTGAGGAGGGGATACATGCTAGACTGGTGGGTTTAGTATGGGGACCAAGGTCACGTCTGGGAAAGAAGGAAAGAAGGAGAGGACCAAAAAAAAAAAAAAAAAACAGAACAGTGTGGGTTCTATGTGAGAGACTCAGCACAGCTGCCACAAACTGTTGGGCTGCAGACAAAAAAAAAAAAAAAAGTGGAGAAAAATGTATTTCATTGTGTTGCTAAAATGGGGTCTGGGGACTGCGGCGATGGCCTGTTTGAAAAGCGGCGTTAATATATCAAGAGGTTTGACCTCAGCCAGAACAATGCGAGTGGCCGGACAACACACAACCAGAGCTACGGCCGCGGAGGAGTGATGGGGCGGGGCCAAGCGATGGGAAACAGACTCCACTTCCTGTTTTTCTTTCTGTATTGTTTCCTTCCCAGCTTGACCTGGCCTGTGGACGTGTGAAAGTGTGTAAGGACTGTGAGGTACAGGGCAGTGACCTGTGTGTGTGTGTGTGTGTGTGTAGATGTGTGTGTGTAGGTGTGTGTGTGTGAACTTCAACCTGGCTCCTGACTCTGGACAGTCAAACAACCCATTCTGCGAACTCTTAGTAGTGTTGGCATTGGTCACGGTGGGCAGCATGTGCATCTGCTTTTGAAATTCGCCACGGCTCATAAATCCAAGATTTTCTTTTACTCGACATCCATAAAATTTTCAGCGGTATTTCTAGTTTTGCACCTGTTTCTCTCAAAGGGATGTAAAACAAGAACCTCGCCAAGGTTTACTGTTCTGTAACCGATCTCGGCTGTTCTCCAGTTTGCTGAAGAAGTTGTTCTTAGGAGGTCTCACAAAACATTTTCACATCTTAAGACTTTACAACCACAAACTTGTAACTTGAACCCCCAAAAATAAACTCCAAGGCAAACATGTACATTCAGAAGTCGCCTATTTAATGAACATAATGAACCAAACATAAATATCAAACGTGACTTGTTGACTTGTGTTCTCTCTACACTCGTCTCTTTTTCTCCTCTTTCCTGTTAACCTTTCTTTTCTCCTTTCTTTTGCATCTCCGTGTCCATTACATTTGAAATAAACCCAAAGAAAATTCTAAAAACGTTTTATCAAGGGAGTATATAATGCTATAATGCTCCACTCATGAAAGCAAATCTGTCCTGACCTCAACACTCCAACAACAATTCTGAGTGGCACACTGCCGGACAGCACACGTTTAAAAATCAGAAAGAAAAAAAAAAACTATGTAAGCACCCTCACTTTGAGCTCCACGATACTCTTGTTGTCCTTGGATGTCAGTTTGGGGTCCTGGAACAGGGGGTCCTCCACATAGATTAGATCCTTCTGGTCTGTCAAGTAGCCATCCAAGACAAATGCCACCTTGGTGACCACCGGCGGCTGCAGGGGTAGCTTAGCCAGGGAAGGCGTGGTGCACTGGATGGAGGTCCGGTTTTCACCATACACACAGCTCTGAAGAGGACACACACAGCAATGTTAAACAAACAGAAATGCTAGAAAGGACAAACCCCCCCCAAAAAACGATGTCTGTGTTCTCAGTTTGGCAACTTTTTTTTTTGCACCAAACACATTACACAAGGCAACAGCTGCTGCCTGAGCGTTTTATCTCATGCTGGCTTGACAGTTTTTGTCCAGATACGGGCCTCCATCTGAGAAACAGACATGTTATGGGATGGGAAGCAGAATGTTTTGGTGATGATGCTTTCATTTTCACGTGTTTCATTCAATTAGGATGGAAAACTCAAAAAGCAGAACAGATTCTAGTCAACGAATGTATCATGACAGTTCAATGACTGACAGGGTTTTTAACATTTTATCAAAAGTCTTCCCTTCCTCTAAAACAGCACAATTAAAAAATTAAACAGTCACACATACGTTGTACAAGAGTGTTGAAATATCACGAGAAGAAAATTGTGCGAGAATAAAATCGTAATTATGAGAATGAAATAATAATATTAAGAGAAAAAAGTAATACAAAAATAAAATAATATAAGAAAAATAATAACTTTGAAATTATCCAAGAATAAAGCCATAATATTACCAGAACACAAAGTCGTAATAAGACGAGAATAAAATCTTTTTAATGATGTGAACATCAAATTGTCAGTAACAGGATTTTGTAACTACTGGAAAGAAAGATGAGCTGATCACATGAGACATTAATAACTCTATCCAAATGTTGCTCTTCTTAAAACATCTTTGTTCTCGTAATTGTACGGCTTCCTTCTGGTAATGTTGCATCATTACTTTGCAAATGCTATGACTTTATTCTTGTAATAAAAACTTTGGAAAACTAGTTGCAACTGGTTGCTGTGTAGCTGTTTAGTGGCAGGAATGCCACGACTTTATATTCAGAAGTGTTCAAATTATGTCTAAATTGTGTCACTGAAGAATGCTGTTCAATGATTCAGCTGCTAAATCCTCTTCTTCGTAACAATATTTGGTATTGCTGCACTGATTGCAGTTTTCTGGCTGATTGCTGATTACAGATTTTTAAAACGCCTGACCTGCAGATTCCAATTTCGGTCAATGATGATTTATTCATTTATTTTTTTCTGAAATGACCTGGTGGGCCAGTCTGCTAGTCAAATATCTCTCAGGAGAAAACAGAAGAGGACAGTGGCTGATTTTTGAATCATTGCTGAGGTAATGATTCAGAAATTATTACCTCAGCAATGAGGTAATGATTGCTGAGGATAAGATTGGATTCATGTGTAAGTCGATCAACAATCTCCCAAAACGAAGGAAATCATTACAGATAAATCACCCACTAATAGTTGGTTTCTTTGTGGCACTGTAATTTTGTATCAAGAAGTGAACAATTTCCTTCGTTTTGGAAATTTCTTTTTTAAATGTCCTTATCTCTACTGGCCAGTCCTGAGAAAATAAACATATTACAGTTCTACATAAAAGCCATTTAAGTCATTAGTGTCTTTTTTTCTGCTCCAGTTTTTCAATGTCAGGTCTCTTAAGCAAGCCATTGCTCAACTGTAGCAGTAGTAGAGCTTACACTACCTCCATCCTATGCCTTCCTATCAGTTTAGGGGGTGGACAGGCTTCCATGACGACTGTAGTAATTCAGTCACACAGTGTAAACATGGGTTACTGTTACCGTCAGGACACAAATCCTTCAGATACACACAGGTGCAGCCAGGAGAAAGCATGCTGGTGTGTGTGCGTGCTGAAAGATCAGTGTTTATATTTGCTCTGCTGGAGGCAACATGTTTACCTTCTGGGTTCTAGAGTAAAATGCTTACAGCAGTCAGTAACCCACATGCATGAGAGGTTAAAACAAAGAAACACTGTTGAGATCGATGTGCTTCCTTTAACCTTTGACCACAAGCAATGACACCTGTACTCGGTTGATTGGTGTCCAAAAGTTACTTGTTTCAAAACAAGAAGATATATTTTAATTAATTTGATGAAAATCTCCATAATTGGGTTTATTTTTTATAATGATTGTTGTGGCATTTTTTCCCCCAATATAGGTGAATTTACCCAATACCTTTATATACAATTCCACTCGATTGTCATCTCCCTTCAGTGCTCCATGTAGGATTCCTCCCATTGAGTTTGATTTCTCTGGTTGAGTTTCAAGCGGGCCGACGGGGGAACAGAAGCAGGAGTTGTTTTTGAATAGTGGTCTGCCTTTATACGGTTGTAGCCTGGCAAAGTCAACAAAGTCATTCCGACTTTAATTGGTCTAACATTGAGCGACTAAAGTTGGAGTTGGCTTGGTTGTTTACAGCACAGGTAGGCAACTTCTGGAAAATTCCTACTGTACTGTACTGTGCTGCATTATATATGGCAAAACATTTGGCTAAAATCAGATCCAACCGTTTCAAATTTCAACAGAAAGTCATTGTTTCTCAATAGTAGAGGCTCCAGACTCTGAACAAAGCAAAGTGTAGAACAAACGACTGATTAAACCAGGCAGGAAGGTAGTTTTTACGCAATAATGGCTTATATTTGCTTACAGTTCTTCTTCTTTATTGACAAATCGTCTATCTTTATTCCATGCTGTCCTCTGCATCCTCTACCTTCACTCCAAATAACTCCATGTCTTCTTTCATCATCAGTCTCCTTTCTGGGACTTGTGCAGTGTTTTCATTAAATAAAAGAAACACAGCTGAAATCCCACCTGATTAAGTTCTTTTTCCCATTAGTCATTAAAATCGAGTGAAAAAAAAAGTCATTAAAAAACATCATCCTCCAACTACTTCCTGTTGTCTTCTTTGTATTTTGTGCCAGTGGCAACCTAGTTGTTGATCATGTGACTCTTGTCACATGATCAAGAGTCTTGTGGTGTGAAAAAAGTGTTTCCACTTTTACAAGAAGAACCAATTTTGATACGGCCAAATGAGCCCAGTGCCAAAAGGTTTTATTGAAAAACAAATTTTTTTTTGTGTTTCCATTAATCTAATTTATTTTGAAAGTGTCAAAATGCACAATGGAAACACAGCTGCTGTCTATCCTCTGAACAATTTCCAGAAAAACCTCCAGCAGGCCTTAAAATTACATTTCGAATGTCCTTTATTATTTTGTGAAAATAAAACTATTCTTTACAAAGGAGAAACGTAAACAAGGTCATATTTGTAAAAGCTGGAGTCTTCAAAGTGGAACTCAAAAGTACTTTGCGAACTGGCTAAAATCTCACTTTGAACACTCGGGTCTGTTTTCTTCCTCCCCGCAGAGCGCCACTGACAGCAGCAGCACTTCCTGTGTGGCTGAAACCTCTGACACGCGGAGTGAGCCATGGTAGTCCAGATGGACGCGCACAAACAGGCCGAAACCACGCAGGCATAAAAAATGGCTGTGTTTATGTGTGTAAGGGGCAGCACAAGCAGGAACCAAAACAGCCCAGTAAACCGGACTCAGACCAGCAGAGTAACAAACAGGGCCGTACGGTACGGCGGGCCACCGCCAGCCCGCTCTGCGTTGCCTCCCCACAGGGGCAGCAGAAAGGAAAAATACCCAGTGAATTAGAGGAAACCTCAGTCATTTTCATTGTTCAGTCGCTGTCTGCTCCGATAGGCAGACGAGGCTGGGAGCAGCTGTAAATACAATCGTTGGCTGGCTGAGCGGGAGCGGCTAGCCGGACCAGAGCTTAACTGTGGGGGTGATGAGAGAAGCAGCCATCCCCGAATCTCTGCCGACCCCTGAAGGATCATTAGCAAAAAAGAAAAAAAAGCCCAAGAGTTGCAACAAAAGCATTTGTCAAATCTAGAGTGATTTATAAGTTTGACTCTGTTTCCTGCTGTGTGATCAGCTCCTTGGGTCAGCCTGGTTTCCTTTACTGTAGATTGTTCTGGATTTCACACTTCCTTATTTTGATGATGTTTCATTTGTCATTACATATGAATGGACGGATCTATAGCAGATTGTTAGGACAGAAAACGCGGAGATAACCGGACATAATGCGAACAGCAGTTCAGCCTTTTAGCGGCCCGAGGCGAAAAGCCGTCAAGTTGTTTTGCTTTTGACGTCATGACGCTGTTCACCTGATGGCAGCAGAGTGAAAACTTTACTTGGAGGCTGTGATGATTCTGACAACAGATGTTTGACAGACAGTAAGGATGTTTCCATGACTTCCTCAGATCGCCTCACTATCTGCTGCAGCGAACAATCAGCTATGTACGACGGCGTGTTGGGGCCATTGTAGATAGAAAAAAAAGAGTCGCAAACATCCTCCAAAGAAAAACTCAGGAATTCTGAGATTAGTCTCAGAAAGAACATGGACAATTTCTGAGTTTGAAAAGTTAAACATTTTCTAAGACATTTTGAGATCAATCTCAGAAATTCTGAAAGGAAAAACATGGAGATTTCAGAGTCTCAAAAGTCAAAATACCACTTTGCATCTCGATCAATAAATCATAAAAATATGAAAATACAGTCATAGAACACACCATTCAGCAAACCAAACCAGAGAAAATGACTTTTCAAATGCCATCATTACACATCAAATATGTTGGTCAGTGTTCTGAAGCAACTCTAAACACGTGGGTTAAGAGTTGCGTCAGTGTTTTGGATGGTTTGACGTTTGTTCCAGATTTGTGGTGCATATAAGCTGAATGCTGCTTCTCCATATTTGGTTCTGGTTCTGGGGAAGCAGAGCAGAACCAAAACCAGAACCAGAAGACCTGAGAGGCCTGGAAGGTTGATACAACAGCAGCAGATCTGTAAGTCATTCAGTGATTTTTGAACAGTATTTTAAAGCCTCTTCTGTCAGTGGAAGGAATGTAGAAGTGGTTGATGTGCTCCATCTTCCTGATTTTAGTCAGAACACCAGCAGTAGCATTCAAAATCCAATTTTTTTTTTTCATTTTGGTAATCCTGAAAGGTTAAAATAAACATCCATAATAATGCTGGTATGATGTAAGCTTATTATGAATGATGCTAATGATAGTAGGTATGTTACACTCATAGAGTATCTTAAGAAAGAAAGAGAATCT